ATTATATATACACCCTCGTTACCCCTACATAGTTACACTCTCTCCGTAGCCAACTCATGTTATCTACTGGACTATACAGTTCTTAGTAACAGAGAAACCTTGCTCATATCGCGTGTGATCCACAACCAGCTCATGCTATACCAGGATTGTTGCTGAGAACCCTAACCCAGTTAGGATCAGTAGGGATCCTTAACACGATACCTATAAATTAATTAAAGATATTCGGGACTCTAGCTATATTTAGTAAGCCGAGGAGTATATTCGAAAACTCTTAGGGCAGCGTTGTTCTCGTCTTAACTAGCGTAACAAGACGTTAGAAATTTCACTTAAGAGGATCGATGATATATTCGCTCGAACCTCTTCTAGACGGCACTAAGCCTCGGATATCGTATCGACTTACTTCACCGCCCGGAAGCGTAATTCTATTATTAGTCTCCCTAGTAAGTTTAGTCATCGTAGTTCATAGAATGAATGCATTCCTTTTCTTCCCCCATTAGATTCATTCTATAGACCCTCTCTTCTCTCTCCCCTCACTATACTAACTTTAACTCTTCTTATATAGATCGTGCTTCTTCGCCTTAGACACTCACTAAGTATAAAGATGGGCCGACTTTATTCATTAGTGACCCCGATTCGGCCGATGAGTTATTACGGCGCGGTATTACCCTTAACTAGAACGAAGTAACTACGCGATATAACCCCGAGATCTAGAAGTTCTACTAAATCGTAACGAATAATGAGATTAATTCTAAGTTAATCTAGATTTTTTATTTCGAGACCGGTTATCTTATGAATTCGAATAGCCCTTTTCTATACGACCCTAACATCGATATATAGGTAAGCCCCGAAGATAGTGAGACTATCGCCTAGGTGGCCCTCGTTCTCTATTATAACTTCGGGTACAAAGATCTCTATCTCCCCCTCGTTCGCGCTAAAGCGAAGGCTAGTAATAATGTCGGTTCGGCTAACGATGCCCCCCGAGATTCTTTATCGATCGAGGGCGAGAAGAGTATAGATGATGATAATATCGGTCCGGTTAACGATGCGCCCCGAGAATCTTCATCGACCGAGAATAATATTTATATAAAAGGTGACGATCTTCGTTCGGCTAATGATACTTAACGAGATTCTTCCATGGAAGAGACTAAAATCATAGAGAAAGAAGATAATGTCGATTTTAGTTCGTCCGAGACTATCGTCGTGAATCCCGAGAATATAGGGATGAAGTTAAATTAGATGGAGTTAAACTAAGGCGATGATCGGTCGATAGTTCGTTCGGAGAACTTAGAGAATTTATTTACGAAGTAGTTATGAGCGGTATTTCCTTAAGCTAAGTTAGAGTCGATAATTATTAAGCTTCTATAGCCCGAGATTTATAGCGTCGACGATGTAGATCTTCCTCGATAGTAGTGATAGTAGAGTATAGATTTATTATTTCGCTTTAGTATACGGCGTATAAATATCTTCTTTATATCTTAGAAGATTAGGAGATAGAGCTATAGATCATATTAAATTATAGAAAGAGAGGGAGGCGCTGGAGATAGAGTGTTCTTCGGTTTTATATAGAGCCTTCTAAGAGCTTCTCACTAAGTATAGAGAAATAAGCTTAAGCTCGAGAATCGAGTCTAGCGAATAGACTCGTATCTACGTCTTTTATAAATTTATCTTTAGTAACTAAAAGAGAATCGATATTCGGCTGGGTAAGTTAGCGTAACTAAGTTTCACGGGGATTATACTTCTTTACGACTTTATCTTTCTAGATATAATTATTAGTAGATTATCTTCATCCGTCGTCCCCGGACCGGAGTCACGGCCTCGTTGAACGCACCGTGAAGTATAAAATGAATTTAATATTCTCTCGACGCTCGTGTCTATAATGGATTTACTTTATTAATCACTAGGCGAGCGTCTATAATGATTTCTCGCCGAGATGTATACGGATTATTAGAAGTCTATATTTCTTCGCTACGCGCGACGAAGAATAATATATTAGCTAAATAGACTAATATCTCGCGTTATAGCGCGATAATATAATTCACCGTTATTCTATACGTTAGATTACATTAAGATTAAACTAATTATATATATATTAACGATATAATATAATATAAAT